TCGGACAGCTGCAAACTTGGAAAGCTGCGCCTGCTTTTTACATGATAAGGGGATGCTTGCGTGTATATGTGCGTGTGTGTGTGTATTTTGGCCACCAGTATGTTTTAGTTTCGATCCCCCCACTTTTTTTTTTTAAAAAAAATAATTATTATTTTATCCACTTCTTGGCTGCTTACAAAAAGCTACAAAAATTGGAAATCCCAGGGCTGTTTGGAACTCTCTGTCTCCGTCACAAATTAATCCTGATTTTTAGTTTTGCAAAAGTTGACTTGTGGGTGGAAACCAGGAGTGGGTTTCAGAAATTTTAGCAAGGGGTTCTCTGCCTGGTTGCTGGGTGGGCGTGGCCATGGTGGGCATGACCTAGTCAGCCTCCTTCATCATGGCGGAGGGGGGGGAAATGTGTTTTTGCCCTCCCCAGGTTCCGGAGGCTTTTTTCAAGCCTCCGGGAGGGCGAAAATGTCCTCCCCAGGCTCCAGAGGCCCTCTGGAGGCCGGAAATGGGCCTGTTTCCGGCTTTTCTGAACTTCCGGTAGGCCCGTTTTTTGCTCTCCTCGAGCATCCATGCGTGCTCTGCACTTACCTGCATCAAAAACGGGCTGCGTGGGGAGTCCTGGGAGGGGAGGGGTGGGCGGGGCCAGCCAATAGTGGGATTTGGGTATCCTGCGAACTCCACAGAATCTTAGCTAGAGGTTCTCCCGAACCCCTGCGAACACCCAGGTGGAAACTCATGTTAGTCTGGAGGGAACCTGGGAAAAAGGGCCGTTTCTGAATTATGAGGCTCATCCTGGGAAAAGGAGAAGGTATTTTGGGAGTTGTTGTTGCTTGGGAGTTGTGAAGGGAAGTGTGAGAAGTATCTCCCCAAAGTGGTGCCTTCAAGTCAGGAGACAGAAGTGTCCAACCTTGACCACTTGATAAGATTTCAACTACCGGAAGTCTCCAGCCAGAGTGACCCACTAAGGAATTCTGGAAGCTGAACTTCACAAATTTTCAAGTGGCCAAGATTAGACACTCACACCAAGGTGAAATAAACAACTATTTTGCTCCAAAAGACGCATTAGGGCTTATTTTCTGGTTAGGGCTTATTTTTGGGGAAATATGGTACCAAATGCACCTATCTGGCTGACAATCTTAACTGGGGCTTTATTTTGGGGGTAGGGCTTATATTATGAGCATCCTGAAAAATCATGCTAAGACTTATTTTCCGCTTGGGTTTTATTTTGGGGGAAATACGGTACTAAATGCATCCATCTGGCTGACAATCTTAACTGGGGCTTATTTTTGGGAGTAGGGCTCATATTATGAGCCTCCTGAAAAATGAGGCTAGGACTTATTTTCTGGTTGGGTTTTATTTTGGGGGAAATACGGTACTAAATGCATCCATCTGGCTGACAATCTTAACTGGGGCTTATTTTGGGAAGTAGGGCTTATATTATGAGCATCCTGAAAAATGAGGCTAGGACTTGTTTTCTGGTTGGGTTTTTTTTTGGGGAAATACGGTACTAAATGCATCCATCTGGCTGACAATCTTAACTGGGGCTTATTTTTGGGAGTAGGGCTCATATTATGAGCATCCTGAAAAATGAGGCTAGGACTTATTTTCTGGTTGGGTTTTATTTTGGGGGAAATACGGTACTAAATGCATCCATCTGGCTGACAATCTTAACTGGGGCTTATTTTGGGAAGTAGGGCTTATATTATGAGCATCCTGAAAAATCACGCTAGGGCTTATTTTCCGGTTGGGTCTTATTTTCAGGGAAACAGTGTAGGAGGTGAGAAACAACCTTCAAAGTTTGTCGAAGTCTCTAAAAGGGCGGTGAGGATCACAGAATGGCCGATGGGAGCCTCTGTGTTTCGGACTGGGTTCTTTTTTTTAAGGGGAGAGGGAGAAAAAAATGGTAGAAGAAAAGGGATCCCATAAACATCAAAAAGGCCCAACAGGGTGGTTGAAACCATCCACACGCTATTTCCTGCTGTAACACAATGTTGCGGCTATCACATCCAGGGGTGGTATCCACTTACTTTCCCTACCGGTTCGCAAATGTAAGTGCACGAGCGTCCATGCACGCGCCCAGCCTTCCATGCATGCACCTGGCTTCAAAAACATGCCTAAATAGGATGGCATAGAGTCGATTTCTGCTACCGGTTCGGGCGAACCAATCTGAACCAACTGAATACCACCTCTGGAAACATCTTCATTGTTCTTGGTTTATGTCCGCCTGATTCTGTTGGGAAAAGAAATAAGAAATAAAAGAAACAATAAGAAATAAAGAAATAATAATGATTTGATATGTTTCTCCTTTTTAAAAAAAATCTTTTTTTCCCCTCCCTTTAGGGGGTTTCCTTTTCTCTGGACGGTTTTCTGTTTGACTTGCTTGCTTGGATTCACGCATGGAAATCCTGAAGGTAATTTTTCACCTCTTTTTTTGGGGGGGGGGTGGGGGTTGTCTCCATCTCTACGCCTTCTGGGGAAGGAGTGTCCGGTTGGCCTCCGTGCTGCCAAATCCCAGAACTGGAGACTTGAGAAACAAATGTTGGAGGAAGAATTGCAGTTGGGTATAAAGTAGAGTACAAAGTTGTATATGGGTATAAAGTTGGGTATAAAGGAGCGACGCGGTGGCTCAGTGGCTGAGCTTGTCGATCGAAAGGTCGGCAGTTCAGCGGTTCGAATCCCTAGAACCGTGATGGCGAACCTATGGCACGGGTGCCACACGTGGCACGCGGAGCCATATTGGTGGGCACGCAAGTGTTGCCCCAGCTCAGCTCCAGCACGCATGCGTGCACCAGCCAATTGATTTTCAGGCCTTCCAGTCCCACCGGAAGTCGGGAAACTGGCTGTTTCTGGCCTCCAGAAGGCCTCCGGGGGGATGGGGAAGGCTGTTTTTGCCCTCCCCAGGCTCCTAGAAAGCCTCTGGAGCCTGGGGAGGGGAAAAAACCAGCCTGCATGGGCCCACTGGGCCATCGCGTGCCAAAAGCAGGGAGAAGTATGGGGGGGTCACGTGCACATGCGCGGGAGGGCGGGGCACATTGAATTATGGATGTGGGCACACGCAACACCCCCCTGCGACCCCCGCTTTTGGCCCGCGACGGCAAAAAGGTTAGCCATCACTGCCCTAGAATTTGCTGATGGTGAATGTTTTCTCTGAAAACGTTTCGCTTCTCATCCGAGGAGCAGAACTGAAGAAGCTTCTCGGATGGGAAGCGACACGTTTTTGAAATAAGAAAAAAAAAACCTAAGAAAGTCCAGTTGCCTTTTTGGAAGACCAAAAGAAAAAGAAAGAAAGAAAGAAAGAAAAAAAGAAAGAAAGAAAGAGAGAAAGAAAGAGAAAGAAAGAAAGAAAGAAAGAAAGAAAGAAAGAAAGAAAGAAAGAAAGAAAGAAAGAAAGAAAGAAAAGCACCTTTGGCCCCACCATGAGACCTGGACGATGGAGAATCTCCGCAGACCTTCAGCCGTGCCAAGATTTTCCACTCAGCCAACCGATGTGTTTGGTCCATCGGTGGCATTTCCCGCCCCCCCGGAGGACGGGTAGCGTGCCAAGGAAACATTGGGCTCATCAGTCTTTCAAAGGTCATTCCGTGGGCCTGGATGGAAACAGAGAATCAAAATCCCCACACGCACAACGGGGACCAGCTTTCATTGGCTAGGTTTCCCCCCACCCCAGTCTGGAACAAGTCTTGAGAAGGATGAGAAGGGCGAGCTTCTGTCCTTCAAAGGTTGCCGATCCCTGGAAACAGTCAAACATTAGAGTCCGATGTGAATGTGGCTGGAGTTTGCATCAATTTAATTTCTTCCCCCCCCCTTCCTTATTCTGTATGACCCATTCAGACGCCTTCGCTTTTTATGCTAAGTTCTGGATTTCTCAATCCTTCGTATGTTGGGTTATGGACACCCATAAGCGATGGTTGGATCCAAATTCTTTTTTCGCCCAAGTTTTATTCTTACGGATAGCAATAGCCCTTAGACTTATATACCGCTTCGCAGTGCTTTTACAGCCCTCTCTAAGCGGTTTACAGAATCAGTCCATTGCCCCCAACAATCTGGGTCCTTGTTTTACTGACCTCGGAAGGACGGAAGGCTGAGTCAACCTTGAGCTAGTCAGGCTCGAACTGCTGGCAGTGGGCAGAGTTATGCAATACTGCATTTTAATCACTGTGCCACCATGGCTCTTAGATAGATATGGTGAGAGATAGATAAGTAGATAGATGATAGATAGATGATAGATGATAGATAGATAGATAGATAGATATAATAGACAGACAGAAATAGAGACAAATAGCAATAGCCTTTAGACTTATATACCACTTCACAGTGCTTTTACAGTCCTCTCTAAGCGGTTTACAGAATCAGCCTCTTGCCCCCAACAATCCAGGTCCTCATTTTACCCACCTCGGAAGAATGGAAGGCTGAATCAACCCTGAGCCGGTCAGGATCGAACTCCTGGCAGTGGGCAGAGTTAGCCTGCAATCCTGCAATTTAATCACCTGTGCCACCTGTGGCACGCATGCCATAGGTTTGCCATCACGGTCCTATAGCATTTCAGAACAATGGCTTGTCCAAACTCTTCTTCAAAACGTCCAAAGTTGGAGCATCCACAACTTCTGGAGGCAGGGAGTTCCACTGACCTCCATTCCAAAGTCTTCAAGGCAGCAAACGGGACCTCTCCTTACAGGAGAAGTCGGGGTGGGATTACGACGACGAGCTGGCCAGCACGGGTGCACTAAATAAACCAAAACGTGATGAAAAAGCCGTTGTCCGAAGATGCTCGAACGTCTCGTTGAGAATCCTCAACATGTAAGAAATTCTGGGAAATTCTGCATAGCTGGAATTTTGCAGTAATTGGATGTTTAGGCGAACGATGGTGAATGAACCCTTGAGAAGAGGACCTTGGTGAGAAGACTAACCTCTGGAGATCTTTCCCTTTTTTTAAGGATGATCCAAAGGGATCATTAAGCTACATAGCCACAGCTGCTGGGATGGCAAGGCATGTGGCTTCGACATCTGTTTATCGGTAACCGCCTCCTTTCTCCTAAAATAGCAAAATCCCCTTCTCTTTGAGTGATTCCGATTGCCTTCAACGGGATGCAGGGATTTGGAGAGTCCCCAACTTGCTGGAGATGAAGGTTGGGTATGTCTCGTTTAATGAAAAGAAGGACCAGGGGAGACATGATAGCAGCCTTCCAATATCTCAGGGGCTGCCCCAAAGAAGAGGGAGTCAAACTATTCTCCAAAGCACCAGAAGGCAGGACAAGAAGCAATGGGTGGAAACTCATCAAGGAGAGAAGCAACCTGGAATTAAGGAAAAAAATTCCTAACAGTGAGGACAATTAATCAGTGGAACGACTTGCCACCAGAAGTTATGGGTGCTCCATCACTGGAAGTTTTTAAGAGCCGTTTGTCTGGAATCGTCTAGGGTTTAGGGTTTCTTGCTTGAGCAGGGGGTTGGACTAGATGACCTCCAGCTCTGTTATTCTGTCGTGTGATTCTGGGTGGTGTCATCTAAGCGCCTAGAGGCTTAGCTTCTCTTTGAAATCAAAATAGAATAGAATAGAATAGAATAGAATAGAATAGAATAGGAGTTGGAAGGGACCTTGGAGGTCTTCTAGTCCAGCCCCCTTCTCAAGCAGGAGAACCTATACCATTTCAGATATAAAGGACTGTCTAGACTCTTCTGAAAAACCTCCAGTGATGGAGTGCCCACGATTTCTGGAGGCAAGCTGTTCCACTGGTTAATTGTCCTCACTGTTAGGAAGTTTCTTCTTAATTCTAGATTGCTTCTCTCCTTGATTAGTTCCCTTCCTTCCTTCCTTCCTTCCTTCCTTCCTTCCTTCCTTCCTTCCTTCCTCCCTCCCTCCCTCCCTCCCTCTCTCCCTCCCTCTCATTCATTCTCAGAATCATTTCCTTCCTTCCCTTGTTCCCTCCCTCCCCTCTCTCCTCTCCCCTTCCTTCCTTCCCTCCTTCTTTCCTTCCTTCCTTCCCTTCCTCCTTCCCTTCTTCCTCCCTCCTTCCCTCTCCTTCACTCTCAGAATCACTTCCTTCCCTTGCTCCCTCCTCTCCTTTTCCTTCCTTCCTTCCTCCTTCTCTCCCTCCCTCCTTCTCATTCATTCTCAGAATCACTTCCTTCCTTCCCTTGTTCCCTCTCTCCCTCTCCTCTCTCCTCTCCATTCACTCTCAGAATCATTTCCTTCCCTTGCTCCCTCCTCTCCTTTTCCTTCCTTCCTTCCTCCCTCTCTCCCTCCCTTCCTCCCTCCTTCTCATTCATTCTCAGAATCACTTCCTCCCTTCCCTTCTTCCTCCCTCCCTCCTTTCATTCACTCTCAGAATCATTTCCTTCCCTTGCTCCCTCCTCTCCTTTTCTTTCTTTCCTTCCTTCCTTCCTTCCTTCCTTCCTTCCTTCCTTCCTTCCTTCCTTCCTTCCTTCATCATCGGACTGCAAGGGACCTCAGAGATCTTCTAGTCCAACCCTCTGCTCAAGCAGGAGACCCTATGCCATCTCAAGCAAGTGACTGTTCAGTCTTTCCTTCAAAAGCTCCAGTGAAGTTTCTCCTAGATTCCAGGTTGCTTCTGATGTCAGAATCCTAAACATTTCACAACCAGACATTGGGATCAATGGGGGCTCATAATCCCTTGAGAAGTTGGCTGAGATGTTCTCAGCCAGGCAGAATCCAAATTAGCAGAACCTTGGGGAAAAAATAATAATAATCCAAGCGCTGCTTTCTCAAAAGAGCCTTCCAGTCCTTGGTGGGAAGAAGAATTTTCCTCCAAAAAAAAAAAGAGAGAGGCCCCACCTGAGCAGAAGGAAGTTCCATTGTTAAATCATGGCCTGTTTTACCTCAGAATCGCTGGGAGTCAGGCAGCATTAATTTAATAAATTATTTTATCCAGCCTAGAAAATAATAAAGGTAGAAGATAAAGGTTCCCCTCGCACATATGTGCTGGTCGTTCCCGACTCTAGGGGGCAGTGCTCATCTCCGTTTCAAAGCCGAAGAGCCAGCGCTGTCCAAAGACGTCTCCGTGGTCATGTGGCCGGCATGACTCAACGCCAAAGGCGCACAGAACGCTGTTCCCTTCCCACGAAAAGTGGTCCCTGTTTTTCTACTTGCATTTTTTACGTGCTTTCGAACTGCTAGGTTGGCAGAAGCTGGGACAAGTTACGGGAACTCACCCCATTACGCGGCACTAGGGATTCGAACCGTTGAACTGCCGACCTTTCGGATCGACAAGCTTAGCGTCTTCGCCACCGAGCCACCGCGTCCCTATTAGAAAATAATAGACGGAATCTTTTCACACTCCTTTACTCCGACTTTGGAATACTTCTGTTATTTTTTCCTTATTGGCTGAGATGTTAGGAAGGAGAAGAAAGCTTGTAGTGCACACAATCATTCTTTTTATTTTTATTTTTATTTTTGGGGGCTGAAGAGATTGGGTGGGAGAGTCTACTTGTCTTTCTGCGATCTGTACTATCACAACCGGCGTGCCAAAAAATTTGAGATCTTGACTCCCGTTGGCCTGAGGAGACGAAAACCATCGCTTTTCTTGTAGTTGGCCGTCCTTCTCATTCATTCTTGCTTCTTCTTCTTCTTCTTTTTTTCCCCTCCCCAACGAAGAGGAGAAATTCGAGAGATAGTATCAGAGGGAAGGAAGAAAAAAATGTTCCATATCTTGAAATATTTTGGAAGGCGCCTTAAAAATTCCCTCGTGTGAATTTTGTAGTTTCACTTCATCACCACACTGCTGCTGGCTAAGGACAGCTCTATTAATAGCTAGCCGCCCAGGATGATTTTTAGTTACGGTTTTGGGGTGCCACATCAGAACAGTGGATGAAGGAAACAACGTTTGTCCATGCAGATTCTCAGTCATCCTGGTCATGGTTGTCCCAAAGGGGCTTTTTTTTTTCCCCAAAAGGCAACTGGACTTTGTTTTTCCTTGAATGGGTTGAAAGAGTACGTCAGAACTGAAGAAGCTTCTGTGATGAGAGGCGAAACCTCTTCAAGGACAGTCAGAACTGAAGAAACATCTTGGATGAGAAGTGAAACATCTTCAAGGACAGTCAGAACCCGAAGAAGCTTCTGTGATGAGAAGCAAAACGTCTTCACGGACAGTCAGAACCTGAAGAAGCTTCTGTGATAAGAAGCGAAACCTCTTCAAGGACAATCAGAACTGAAGAAACTTCTTTGATGAGAAGTGAAACATCTTCAAGGGCAGTCAGAACCGAAAGAAGCTTCTGTGATGAGAAGCAAAACGTCTTCAAGGACAGTCAGAACCTGAAGAAGCTTCTGTGATGAGAAGCAAAATGTCTTCACGGACAGTCAGAACCTGAAGAAGCTTCTGTGATGAGAAGCGAAACCTCTTAAAGGAAAAACCAAGTCCAGTTGCCTTTTGGAAAAAAAAAAAACACCTTTTGGGAAAATAATATTTGGTTTTAGTAACTAGCAAACAAATCCACTTTTGCAAGGGATGAGAATAGAGAAGGAAACTTGACTTGCTCTAAACCTTCTTTTGAATAAGTGGACGGTTGTCTTTATAACTCAACCTTTCTTCCCTTCTTCTAGATGTGGACGTCCTTCAGAGGCTGGGCCTGGTGGGACCAAGGACCTCCGACTTGTCGCCCTCTGTTCCTCAGGGAGTTGTTCCCTTCAGGTTGGGAGTCATTCTCACCCAGCAGGCACGCATCGAAGTGCCCTCCAGCTCGGTTATCCCCGTCCCCGTTGGCACAGACCTGACTCTCGTCTTAAGCGTGTGCTCCTTCCGTGTCAACAGCGCTTTTCTATTCACAGTCAAGAGCAAAAGGAAGAAATTGCAACTGGGGGTTCAGTTTCTTCCGGGCAAGATTGTCGTCTACGTCGGTCACAAGCGCTCCGTCTATTTCGATTACAACGTCCACGACGGACGGTGGCACAACTTTGCCATCGATATCCGAAGCGGAACGGTTACCTTGCTGACCTCTTGCGGGAAAGAAAAAGTACACGCGGATTTGTACAATAAGAAAGAGAAGACCTTGGACCCGGAAGGCTCTTTCCTCTTGGGAAGACTCAACCAACGCTCGGTCCAGTTCGAAGGCGCTCTCTGCCAGTTTGATATTTATCTTTCCACGACGGCAGCTCACAATTACTGTAAGCATCTGAAGAAACAATGCAGACAATTGGGTACCCTGCGACCGGACCTCCTGCCGTTTTCCCCGTTGCTGCCCAAAGATCCTAGAACTTCTGAAATGACTCCAAAACAGTTGGACTTTGCCATGATGGGCTTGATGAATTTGACCACTATGAACCCTCCCTCGACGGTCTTCAAGACCCCTATTTCTCGGAGGGATAGGAGGTTGCAGGGAGCATCGACCACTGTTCGAGTTCCTAAAGCACCATCTGCAACACCAACCATGAAGGTGAGGTCCACCGTGGCATTGTCTCCCTCTCGGACCATCACAGAAGCATCGCAACCCATCCGTAATCTCCAACAGAACGCCACCGTGGCACATCCGACTTCCAAAACAGCTCACCGGACAACCACCAGAGTTTTAGGGGGCGCTTCCACTGTGGAGAAACCTCTTTGGTCAACCCGCCCAGATGTTCTGGCCTTCCCAAACTCAACTGTGAACTTTGGCGTGGCTCCAGATAAGAAAGAGATGAGGAAAACATCCAAAAAGCTGAGTAGCCAAGGACCAACCATCAGTACCATAAAGCCGATGATGAAGAGCAGAAGGAACTCATCCAGTAGCCGTTTTCCAGTCACCACAAAGCACAAGTTGGAAAAGGTCACCGGTGGCCCTGCACCAAAGGAGGTCGTGATCCAGCCAGCGATAAAGAAATCCAGTCCTACCGTGGCTACTGTCTTCTACACCAAACCAGCGCTTGGAGGGCCTTATCCTGTTTATGAAACGCGTGGACCAAACTCAGATTACATCACTCTGGCTGCTGTAGATAGCTTTCAGGATTTCAACCCTGTGGGCCCCACCTTATATCCATTTGTCATTGGCCTCCCTGGTTGGAAAGGAGACCCAGGATCCCCGGTAAGTCCATTTTCTTTCGATTATTGCTTGTCCTGATATGTTGCTGGCTGTGAGTTATGGGGTTTTGTAATTGTTCTGTTGTTGTTTTGTAATAGAAAGTAAACAGCACAAACTTGGTCCTGACAAACCTCTTTTATTTATACGACTGAAAATTACTTTTATTTACAGTCCGCAAGGCTTGATAAACAGTCTTTCAGGGGAAGGTTATCAACACCCACCTTATCTCACGTGGAACGCTGCCAGAGAGCTAATTTCCAGCCAACCTGGCACAGAATCACAAACAGAATTTTGAAATCTTGAATCAGCCAGATGAACTAATTGCTTTCTGCAAAAGCTCACATCCCGTTCACTTCTCTTTTATGTCTTATGGGAGGGGCCAATCATCTCCAAGCCTTACTCCCAAGTCGACCCTGTTTCCTTAATTGTTCCTGTCTCCTGGCAGCTCTGCGCATACACACACTGGGAACAGGCTCCCACTCTTCTTCTGCCTCACTGATGTCAGACTCTGGAGGCAGCAAAGAACTACCAGATGGCCTTGGCCCCCTCTCTGCCTCCAACTCAGAGCCCTCGTCCGAGCCTTCCCCAGACTCCAGGACTGGCCCACATTCCTCCCCAACCTCCTCACTGTCCGAATCTGCTGCCAGCTCTGCTGGCCGCTGGCAGGCCACAACAGTAATCTCAACCCACTTGGAGAACACCAAGACGAGGAAGGCTGATCTATGCCAACTTTGGTGACCGCCTTTCGAGATCTCATGCAAGCCATTTTATCTTCTTACCACTCTTCTCCATAGCCCCCAGTCTCTCCTCTTGAAAGCCCCATACCAGCCTTCTTAAAAGCATAAGATAGCTTGAGGGACCCAAAGGTGCTTTTTTTCAAGAGGTGACTGGACTTTGTTTTTACTTGAAGACCTTTCACTTCTCATCGAAGAAGCTTCTTCAGTTTTGATTGAAGCTTCCTGGATGAGAAGCAAAATGTCTTCAAGGAAAAAACCCAAGAAAGTCCAATTGCCTGTTGAAAAAGGCCCTTTGTGTGACAACTATGACCTGGATGATTAAGGACCTCCAGATCAGGGGGGTGTCAAATTTGCACCCCGTGGGCGGGATGTGTCATGCGCTGTTCTGCCCCAGCTATGGACCCCAAAGAACACAGCACACACAAAGTCCGTTCAAACCTTAGTTTACTAAATAAACCAGTCTTTTACAACAACGGCTGTTAATTAGCTGCATTAACAGCCGCCAAGAATTCAAAGAATAATTACTGAAAGCTTACTGTGGCTGGCAGAATGCCCAGAAGCAATTTGCAGGAAGCTGATAAGATAAGCAAGACAAGACACGAAGGTATGTGAACTAAGTTGTTCCCTGCAAATTGCTTCAGTCGGCATTCCGACTGAAGTCTTGTTTTTACTTTGGCTGTTCACCGCCCTGAGTCCTACATTGGAGAAGGGCGGTATAGAAATTTAAACAAATAAATAAATAAATAAAAAATAAAAAATAATTCCTCCTTAAATAGGCTAAGGGAGTGGCCAATTAGCCCCCAAGCCTTACTCTTGAGGAGACCTCCTCCTGAGTAGTCACTTTTGGCACTTTTGGCAGCTCTGCGCGCCCGTGCATCGAGAAGAGGCTCCTCCTCTTCGTCCTCTTCACTTAAGGGAGCTTCTGGAGGTTCTGAAGACCCTGGCTGAATCCCTGCCTCTGGCACCGCATCTTCTCCAGCCTCCTCATTGTCTGACTCAAGTGCCAGCTGCACAGGCTGCTGGCGCAGCACCACACCAGCCTCCTCGCTGTCGGAATCAGCTACTAGCTGCACAACATGCGCTGGCCACACCCATCCCCAGTTTAGTGAAGGGGGAAAAAAGTCATAATACATCACATGATGACAACATGTCACTGCGAGTTTGACACCCCTGCTCCAGAGTCATTTCCTTTATCTGTTTATTGTTACACCAGGACTAATAATAATTTGCCTCTAGTTTCCTCTTCTGATGCAATTTTGGCTGTGCTTAACACCCAAGGTCTGATAGTTCAAAGCTATTATTCTCTCCAAAGTTAGTTGGCTGATTGATTGATTTTTCATCCTTTGTCTATGGAGATTCTCAGCCATCCAAGTCATGGTCATCCCAAAAGTGTTTTTTCAAGAGGCAACTGGACTTCGTTCTTTCTTGAAGACGTTTCGCTTCTCATTCAAGGTGGTTCTTCAGTTCTCCAGAAAGCAACCGAACTTTGTTTTTCCTTGAAGATGTTTCGCTTCTCATCCAAGAAACTTCTTCAGTTTCTTCAGACGCTTCTTCAAGTTCTAAAGAAGCTTCTTGGATGCGAAGCGAAACATCTTCAAGGAACACCTCCGTCGTCGTCACCCCCAAGAAAGTCCAGTCACCTCTTGAGAAAGCCCCTTTGGGACAACCCTGACCTGGATGACTTGAGAATCTCCATAAACGTTCACTCGAGGGGCTCTTCCAACCCAACTTGAACGAAGTGAGTCAATTCGGAGACTGTCTCCATTGATTTGTGAAGGTTGGTTTGGCTCCTGATATACAAAGCGGAGCTGCGGAGGGGGGGGAAATGCCTGACCCTTGGCGTATGATGAGTCATCCATGGGGTTTTGGACATGAATGATGCTGTGGAACATCTCAAGTGTCAGCTAGCCAACCTTCCCCATAGCATTCGTTGACCTCTTGGCTACGAAGGGAGCTCAGTGGTGAAGGAGACATCAGGGTTGCCTTGTAGTCAGCTTCTTTGACCTCTGCCGAGATGACTAATCTAGGTCTTTTCTGTAACGGCTTTGTTGGATGGGAGAGCAGGATGGAGCTCTCGAGAACTCTAACATTTATTCAGTCAGACAAGATGGTTTTTCAGGATTGGAAAAGTTGATAATGAATTGTTCCTTGGCTGACTAAGCGCTCCGGAATGAGGGCCTCCACGGTCTTCTCTTCCGCAAGCATGTCAGACAGAACGTCCTCTTTCCCAATCTTGCGTCGTTGTATCTCATCTTGCTTGGGTCGAGGTGACGATGGCGGCCCCTTCCTCGATGGTTCCTGCTCCTTTCGAAAGCAGGAGTTAGCCCAGCGAGGAAGGGAATCGTTCGAGAAGGAAAGGAAAACAAAAAAAGCCAACCAAATCAAAAGGGATTTCGCTCTTGAGCCTTTGACCTTCCAGATGTTGCTGAGAGCCGCAGTATGCTACTTCCTCTTTGGCTGCTGCCGTGTCTTGTAGCTTAACCGCTTCTGGAAGCTTGTGATGGTTTTTTTTTTTTTGGTTTTTTTAGAAAGCGCGGCCCAGCCGTGGCCCCTCTTAAAAGCAATCACTTCCGTTTCTTCCTTCCGCTGTTTCTTCTCGACAAATCGGTTGGATCCCAAGCTAAGACATCGAAAGAAAAATTATCCGCCGCCTTTTCTTAACCGTCTAAAGGGAAAATGAGCAGGACTTCGAAAATGGTCCTACGTCCCCAAATTTAGAATCTCGTTTGGATATCACCCTCAGGGGTGGGCTTCAAAAGTTTTAGCAAAGGGTTCTCTGCCTGGTTGCTGGGTGGGTGTAGCCATGGTGGGCGTGGCCTAGTCAGCCTCCTGCACCACGGTGGGGGGAGCTTTTGCCCTTCCCGGGTTCCGGAGGCTTTCTTCGAGCCTCCGGGAGGGCGAAAACAGCCTCCCCAGGCTCCGGAGGCCCTCTAGAGGCCGGAACTCCTGAACTTCCGCCCTATCTCATTTCAGACAAATGGTTATCCAACCTCTTAAAAACTCCCAGTGTTGGAGCATTCACAACTTCTGGAGGGAAGTTGTTCCACTGATGAATTGTTCTCACTGTCAGGAAATTTTTCCTTAGTTCTCGGTTGCTTCTCTCCTTGATGAGTTTCCATCCGTTGCTTCTTGTCTTCAGGTGCTTTGGAAAATAGCTTGACTCCCTTCTTCTTTGGGGCAGCCCCTCAGATATTGGAAGAGTGCTATCATGTCTCCCCTAGAACTTCTTTTCATTAGGCTAGAATAAAATAACAGAGTTGGGAAGGACCTTGGAGGTCTTCTAGTCCAACCCACTGCTTAGGCAAGAAACCATACACCACTTCAAACAAATAGTTATCCAACATTTTCTTAAAAAATTCCAGTGTTGGAGCATTCACAGCTTCTGGAGGCCAGTTGTTCCATTGATTAATTGTTCTCACTGTCAGGAAATTTCTCCTTAGTTCTAAGCTGCTTCTCTCTTTGATTAGTTTCCACCTATTGCTTCTTGTCCTGCCTCCAGGTGGAGAATAGCTTGACTCCCTCTACTTTGGGGCAGCCCCTGAGATATTGCAACCCTGCTATCATGTCACAAGAAGAGGCACTGGAATTTCCAACCCCGAATATGCAGGAAAATTATATTCCGCTTCTGGGTCTGAAACCGAACGCCGAAAGGGCTGGTTTGTACGGCTGGTCCATCAATGGCAGTTAATTATATTCCTGCTCAAAAATAGGAACAGAGAGTCACTGGCTGGAAAGCAAACATTTATGGGCCCAACGCCGTTCCAAGCCAGCGAAACGGCTTTAAATTCCTGCAATTCACAGGAGGCGTATTTGAGCCTTGCTGCTTGTCACCACAATAGTCAGCAGCGTAGGCCACTGTTGATGCGTCCAACAAACAGAAGAACTGATTCTTGGACCCAAGCGGAGGCCAAGCGTTTAGGAAATAGAGCAAGCTGGGCTGATGGACAAACGAAACTTCTGCAGTCTGTGTGGGCATGTAGAGCTGATGGCAGAATTCAAACCTTCTTAGGTCAGCCAGAACAGAGCTGGAAGGGACCTTTGGAGGTCTTCTAGTCCAACCCCCTGTTCAAGCAGGAGATCCTCCACCAGTGAAGGCTAATGCGAGGGGAGCATGTGTGTGTGTGTGTGTGTGTGTGTGTGTGTGTGTGTCACATTTATGCGTGCCTACACCCATAATTCAATGCTGCCCCGTGATGCACGCGCGACCCCCTGCATGTACGTGTGACCCTCCTGTGCTCCCCTGCGCATGACCCCCCCATGCCCCGT